TTTTTTTTTTTTTTTTTTTTTTTTTTTTTTTAGCACGAAGGTTGAACTCAGAAGCTACATTCCCCAGCCCTTTTTTGCTTTTTATTTTGAGACAGCGTCTCACTAAGTTGCTTAGGTTGGGTTCAAACTTGTGATTCTCCTGCCTCAGCCTCCCAGAGTGCTGGGGTTACAGGTGTGCATCACCACACTGGTTTCAGGTACACAGATTCAATCTTATTTTTATTGATATGTTTTTGTGCATATGAGATATTAAAAACAAGTTTAAAAAGTAAAAGGAAATGGAAGCTTGGATTAAAAGGAAAATAGTCAAAGTGGTGAGCTTTTCCAGTTTTTTAAAACTGCACAAAATAGCTCATGGGAAAGTCACAGCAGTAAAGCCATAGTTTCTACCATTAATAGAATGTGTAATAACCGTGTGATACAAAATTCTAGAGACCTCAGGATCCAGCTTCTGGAGGCCCATGGACTATGTTCAACAGTCTAAAGGAGGAGGAAGGCAGCAGAGAGCAGGGGACCCTAAGCACGCGGTGAGGGACCTGGGCATCTCCCCACCCTGGAGTCTGGGCTGGGGCCTGGGACCCTCTCCTCCTGCCTGACCGCGGCCAGTGAGGGCTGCGCCTGCAGGAGAAACAGTGGGGCAACACAAACTTACAAAGAGATGGGCTTGCTGGGCACCAAGAGTGGCCTCGTCTGAAACCTGTCCCAGAGTCCACCGACCATCTGAAACCGGAAGCAGAAGAATGAGGCATGAGCCAAGAGGCTGTGGCTCCAGGGCACCACATGGCCTGTCTCATCCCCGCTCACCTCCCACCAGGGAACCTGCCTGTCTCTGCCTCCTCAGCTTCGAAGCCACTGGCCTGAGGAGGACTTTGTGCACCAAGGAAATAAGGGACTTTCCAAGTTATCTCAAGATTTAAAATATATTGAAGCACTTATGCGATCCTTAAAATGTAGACGGAATAGGACATGTTTTTAACATTTTAATTAATTTGAATGCCTATGTGAACATTCCAAGTCTGAGTCTTACAAAAGCTCTTGTTTTCCCTCTGTCATTCTTCTCTGGAAAAGTAGATGCTTTAGAAGATAGCAGTGGCTTCTCAGCCTGGGGCCCATGTGCCTTTTTGGGACCCCTGTTCATAACGTGTTTTGATGAGACTGGCTTCCTTTTTCAGTCCCATGGCGTGAGTGTATTCACACGTCCCTATGAGAAGTCATCCTATAACAGGGGCAGACTCCTGCAGGGCAATGGGGCACCAAGGCTGAGGGAGACAGTGGACCCTGAAGTCACTGTGCATCACGGAGCAGAGAAACCTAAGGCAGTTTGGGCCAGAGCACACCTGTGACAGCCCTGCAGCCAGGGAGCAGGGAGGGAGGAGGGACAGTCTGCAAGGGTCGGGCCTGACACAGGCTGCGGCCGACTTGGGCGAAGCCCTCCGTCCCACCACCTGCTTCCGGAACACGCCTGGCCTCAGCTACCCACTGCTGTCTGTGTCCTCCGTTATTTACTCTCTCTTCCACCATGCTAAAAATAAATCTGCTGCAATTTACTCAGGAGAAAGAGCTCATTCTGAAAAAAGCAAGCATTTTCAGCATGTCTCGAGAGTGTCAAGGAATGTGCAGTGATCAGCGGGGCTTTCACGACTATGGAACTCGGACCCCTGTGCGGTTTCTAACCATCAAGAATCGTGGCCTGAACCTTTGGGTTCAGTCCGAGCACAGTCAGGGGCGCGTGGCTTCTCTGGGTGCTCACTGACCTGGGTGATGGCTGGGGCACTTTCATATCTCTTCAGGGTGCAGCTCTGCGAGACGAGGTCAGCAGCCTTTTCTACGGTTGTTTCTTCTGGACAAAGTTTTGGTGGCAGCATCTTATCCCAAGGAACAGCCTCATATGCCCTGGGGAATTATCACGTGTGGACCTCTCAGGAAGGGCACATATTTTGTTGCTAAAACTCACAACACATCGCACACAGTGTCAGGCACAACCCTAGGAGGATGGCAGATCCCTGCCCCTTGGTATCCGCACCCTCCAGGGCGCTCCTTCCCCAAACTGGGCAGCCAGAAGCACAGTGCAGGGCACCCCATGGAATGTCCACACCTCCCAGAAGTAAGGTCTCTACTCAGCTGAGCCTGTGTCCCTCGAAAGGAGGGCTACCTGTGTGGGCCTGCATCAACAAGCCAGCCCCACCCAGTGCTGAAGAACAGCGGCAAAAGCTCTTTGGCCACCCTCGAAGGAACAAAATTCATGACTCCCATGGCTGCGATTTTGCCAAGAGTCTAAACAATCTTGGAAGACGAGAGTCCACCCCCAGCAAACACCTTCATTCCAACCTCTGGACAGTGACCTCTGGGGCGCAGGTCCTAACTGGGCTTCTGGCCTGCAGGCCATGGAATAACAAAAGCCACCAAGCTCCAGGGAATCAGTCACACAGCAGTGGAAAACTAATGCGTATACTCACGTAAATTTTAGGTTCCGAAACAGTTTCATCTGACCTTCACAGCTTGGCCAAAAGACCATTAATTTATAAATAAATGGTGGCTTTGAAAGTTGATTTTGCTTGCTTAAGGTCACTCAGCTATCAGGACTCAGATTCAAATTACCTCCCTTTCATGGTCAGCAGCATTCCCACTTTTCCCCACGCAGCCACCAAACTACACAACGCTGGACAATGGGACAGGGCTGCAGCCACCCCGCTCTCTGAACTGCCTTCCTCTTCCGGGGTGCTGTTCCCCTTCTTCCTACCTCCGTTTCTCCTGCTGTGCCTGCTCTTTCTCCATCCTCTATGGCAGGGGCGCTAAGGCGCAGTCCTCTCTGCCCTTCTCTGTCAGGGTCCTCATGCAGAGCTGGACTTCTCCAAGCTCTGGCACCTGGGTGTCTTTCTCTAGCAGGCGCCTCTCCAAAGCGGCACGTCTGTCTACCCCATTGCCTACTCTGCATTTAAGCAGTCAACATCCCTAACGCTGCCTGCCCTTGAGTAGCTCCACCTGCCTGCGGGTTATTTCATGAGGGAAATAGCAACTTCGGGCCATCAGCTAGAGGCCAAGCTCTGGTCTCGCCCAAGCCCTCCTCGTCCTCTGAGCTGCATGAGCACCCGCGGAGCTGGCGGGCCGCACCCATCCAGAAGCCACCTGGGCACCCTGTCTCGGCCAAGCCCCTCCGAGCGGGGGCATGCATCTCTGTCCTCCAGACAGCTCGGACCCAGCCTCCCTCCACACCTCCGCTCTCCGCAGCGCCCAACACTCCGGCTGCCACACAGACTCCGGTGATCCTGGTGCTTCTTTGCCGGGGCCTCGGTTAGCGGCAGCCCTGGTCGCGGCATCCGATCAAAGCCGCCTGAGAGTCCTGGCCCCGCGGCCTCCTCGGCTCAGGCCCGCCGGCCTCCTGTTCCACCTCTGCACCCTAGCGCCCTTCCAGCCTGGGAACAGGGGCCCCAAACGTGGGGCTCCCTGCCCAAGCTCCCCACGGAAGGGTCCTCTCCACGCCTCTGCTGCAGTCTGAGGCCGGCTACCCCAGTCCTTTCCTGGTCTCCTACTCCTACTCCTAACCTCCTAAACTGTTTCCTTTCTAGCATGCATTTCCATTATCCTCCTGGTCTGAGTTGTTCCCTGGCACGTCTTACTGACGCCAACTGTTCACAGGCTGCGCCAGTGGATTCTCCTCCTGCCGGCTTTCTCCATGCTTCCGTGACCCCATCTCCTCTCTCCATTTCCTTTCTCTATTACTTTGATGCTTGTGCTAAACCAAGTGTTCGGTAAGACCTTGGCTTGTCTCCTACGTAGCCAGCATGAGTAAGTAGACCTGTGCGTTTGATGTCCTCTGGTGTACTCACAGGATCAAGGATATCAGTACATTGAACATAAAGAGCAGGGTGTGGTGGCGCACGCCTGTAATCCCAGCACTCAGGAGTCTGAGGCAGGAGGATCGCTGTGAGTTTGAGACCAGCCTGGGCTACATAGTGAGTTGCAGAAGAGTCTCCACTACATAGTGAGACTCTATCTCAAAAACAAACAAACAAACAAAAAACCCAAAGCAAAACATTGAACATAAAGGAATAGACTTTAACAAAATTCTCCTGGGGATGCCTACTTTTGTGTACAGGACTTGTAAAAGGAGTCCTTCGCATCATATTCTTTATTCGGCTCTACATGTGGCTCACCGTCACCCTAGAAGACAAACAACAAATTAAAAGACACCCAGTATAAATGGAGGCTGCTGTTTTTCTATTTACCATGTTTTCCTTTATCCTCTTTATATATTTTTTTCTTTCAAGCACCTTTTGGATTGGCCAGATTTCGTGCTTCTCTGCTTTTCTTCCTTTGTTTTGGAAATTTACGCTACAGTTATATTCCTGCAGTGTTAAATTTTACAAAATGTCTATTAAATTTAATGGAAGGCAAAATTTTTAGAAGAAAGCACCTAAATTTTAAGCATCAGCAGATAATTCATTTTAACAACATGTAACTAAAGCATTAAATTCTCGGCTGGGAGTTCAGTTCTGAGACACCTTCCCTTTCCTGGTCTGCTGCCTTATTTCACCTACATTCATTAACTATTTATTATAATAATTATTATTATAATTTAACCATTAGTATTTATTTATATTTTTATGATGTTTTACCCACTCGTGCTTTTTTTTAGCTACTTGGTTTTCCTGAGTTTGTGGTTCCATTTTCTTTGTTGCTCTTCTGATTTTCTTCAATGTCTTTTATTAAAATGTTTGGACCTCTCAAATTTAAAGACCCAATCCAAACATGCACATCTGAGATGAATACACACTTCTTAGATGCCCATCAACTGATAAATGGATGCAGGAGATGTGGGGTTTTTTCGTACAATGGAGTACTACTCAGCCATAAAGAAGGATAAACTAGAGACATTTCTAGGTCAATGGATGTACCTGGAGACCATACTCTTAAGCAAAATAAATCGGACACATGTATGTAAACATTGTATTGTTTCTCTGGTGTGAGAAACTGAAAATGTAAATAAGGACCAAAATGTATACTAGACATTGTGAAATGGGAAGAAAATGTTCAAACAGGAAGGGACACTATGGAGGGAGGAGGGGAGAAAAAGAAAAGAAAAGAGAAAATGAGAAAAGAAGGATAAAATGGAAACAAAGCTTTTGTAAATAAGGAGGGAAAGAGAAGTTGAAGGAAGGAGAGGACAATGGGGAAAAAAGAATAATCAAGATAAACCATGTACAGGTACAAATTCCCTATGATAAATGTGATCATTATGCCTGTCTAAACTGTACCAATAAACTTAATTAAAAATAAAAATTGTAGCCTCTTTTCCTTTGGTTCCAGGTGACTATTATGCCCTAGCGTAAAATTTATTTCTTATATTTTTCACTGACCATGGTAGCTATTTGCATTTTAAAATTTCTATGCAAAGGCAACTTTTCATAACTGCAAATGCTTCTCTGTTTGCCTTGCTGCGTTATACTTTTTTTTTTCTCTTGTAATTGAACAGGGGCTGATTTTATTCACTGGAGTATTTTAATTCTTCTACTTTCTTGCCATCTCTTTATTGATTTGTTCCACCTTCTATTCATTGTGTGGATTTCGTGTGCCTCTCAAAGCAATGTTGCCCTCTTCTGTTGGTGTCCTACAGCACAATTTCTGTAATAAATTTCTGTTGCCGCTGGTGGTGGTCTCTGGAGGAATCCTGTGACTGCCAAGTATTCTCTTCTGTCCTTTAGGATTGTAAACCTCCAGGGGTGACTCTTTGTCCTTCTGATTCTGTCTCTTCCTGTGTGGCCCCTGCCTAAGTATTCTCTTCTGTCCTTTGAGATCGTAAAACTCCAGGGGTGACTCTTTGTCTTTCTGACTCTGTCTCTCTTCCTGTGTGGTCTGCGCCTTCGGTGACTGTTATCTCTAATCCTGCTCTGTGACCCCTTCCCTGTAGGCTTGTTCTGCTTTATCTTCATAATGGTGGCTTTCAGATCAATTCCAGGCTATTCCAAGCCCTCTTCTCTCTGCAGTGTGATTTCCCCACTACTGCTCTTTTTTACCACAAAAGATTTCTGTTGCGAGCATGACTTATTAGAATATTGTATTTTCTATTTTTACCTGCAGTGATTCAATGATTGGGATTTTTCCTGTTGTCTAGCTGTGTTAATGATATATTTCTTATATGCTGTTGCTTTTCTTTTTCTGCCTTTGTCTTCAGGCTTTAGGGTAGCAACAATTTATTTTTTCAGACACGATTATATTTGGCTTGGCAAAGGTTATGTCTTTTGCTCTTCCTCATCAGTCTGGGCAGATATTTACCAAGTTTTTCTTAATCCAACTTGTGAATTTGGTGATCTCCAGTTTTCTATTCCTAAATTAAGTTTTTCCTTCACCCTAGTTTTTTGAAGTTGTTTTTCATGCTCTTCTCTTATCTGAGATTGGGCTTGCTCAAGCAAAAACCATTTTACTTTCCTCTGTAATAACACACACACTGAACAATGTAGTCGCACCACATATTTTAGTAGAACATTTCTCATCATTCTGATGAGAATATTTTCTAGTTTCCCTTATGATTTCTTCTTTGGCCTGTGACTTATTCATAAACGTATTTTTACATTTCCAAATACATGATTGCAAAGATGCTTTTTTTTTGCCATTATGCTCTTGTGGTCAAAGAATATACTCTATGATTTCAAATATTTGCACTTTGTGAAAATTTTGTTTTATGACACAGTATGTGCTCCTTGAAAGCGGTATAATTATAGGTTTATATGTTTTTTCCCATAGTTTTCTTGTAAACATTCTGTGAGTGCCAGCTTTTAGTAAGCACTACATAATAGCAATATACATGTTTTATTTCATACTGATGATAGATTTTTAAATTTTGTTTTGTACTGGGAATGGAATCCAAGGAGACACTTTATCTCTGAAATACATCTCCATCCTTTTCATTTTAATTTTTTACTTTGAAACAGAATCCCTTTAAGTTGCCCAGGTAGGACTCAAAGTTGAAATACTCTCACCTTAGCTTCACTAGGTGCTGGGGTTATAGGACTGTAGCAGTCTGCCCAGATGAAAATCTTATAACTGGAGCATTTAAGAATGTAGATGTAAAATAACTGCTGATTGTATAAGTTTAAAACCATTACTTATCCTACATGCCTTTGTCTTGTTCTTGCTGTCCTTGGATAAATTTCCATTATTCCCTTAATCATGTCAGTGCTGTTTATTGTTTTTCTGACTTTGATGCTCTTATAAATTACAAAATGAATACTTGTATTATTCATTAATTATTAATAGTAATAATACTTTTACTCTCTACAATTTCAGTATATGATTGTAAATATGAGGTTTATTTATTTGCATAGTTGAAGTTAGTTCATTTATTTTGGAAAGTTGAAATTATAAAAAAAATGAGAGCAATAGAATTGATCCTCAATTTGCAGAATTCTATAGGAGATTGTATACAAAATATCCAGCAAAACTTACTTTTATTCATTCATGTTTTATATTAACCCTTAAAAATATGTTAAGTTCTCTAGAATTCACAATTTGGCTAAATTTTCTAATAAACATTAGTGTTGTATTAGCAGTATCAATTCTGCATGAGCAAGATCATCACTTCAGAAAAAATTACAGCTTTTCTTACCAGCTTATGGGGGGGTTAGAAAAATCTCTCACAATGTAAAATCCTTTCAATTTTGAGCCTAATAATCAGATGGAAACGTCTCACAGTTTGTGGACAGAAAGGCCATGGAAACTTTTTATATACTGCCAATCAATCCCAACTGAGAGCCCCTAGTGGCTGCTTCGTAAAACCCATGCAATACTAAAGCTACTGATCACTGAATGAGTCCATCACAATGCAAGCTGGTTATTAAACACCAGGAACTTCCATGTTTTCTAACACTTAAATGCCTAACAGTATGAACAGCGATGTTCATGGAACCAGTTAGCCCTATACGTAGGTCTATATGTTTTGCTTGATGCCCCAAGATATAATGTTCCACGTATTTGTATCTCAAAAATATAATCTAAAAAAGTAAGGGCATTTCAGACTTCCATGAAAATGTTTGTAACCAGTGCTGAGTATCACTGTGAATAAGAACTCCTATCAGTGGGTCTCCGGTTAGTATCAGAGTCCCAAATCTATGCAGTTTACCGATCTTCATCGGGGAGACAATTATGCCTTCCGAATTTGTGTTCAAACCTTCTTCAGCAGTGCCTGAAACATGTCTTCTCACTCTCTGGTGTTTCACGTCCTTATCTACCTCATCACCTTGGCATATTATAGCATAATCTTTCATTGGAACCTGCATTTTTCTCTAAAGACCATTTCTTCCACTTCCTGACTATAGATCTTTAAATTGTTTTTCAAGTATCTCTCATTTATGAAAATTTTTTAAAATTTCAGATTCTCAAATTTATCATCCACATAAGGTCCTGGATGCATATCTTCATTTCTAGTATCTGTTTTCTTGCCACTATGTCTTCTTTCTACCACTGTCTGCTGTATGTTCTTGAGGTCAAATTCAATGGGAATCCTTACTTCTAATGGTAGATGTTTTAAAAATTCTCCCGACAAGACCAATGAAGCTAAAGCAGAATTATATGTATGCCCTATTCAAATGCTTTCATGCTTCTTCAACATCATCAGTATCACAAGTGCATCATGATCCTGGGATTTCTTTAAGCACACAAGACAAAACAGAAGATGGCTACTGATGTTGAGATTTCAATTAGTGCATTTCCTGCAATGTGGAAAACTGAAGCTCCTGAAATTTCTGGTTTCTCTCCAGCCTCACATCCTGCACACTTGTTTCTCTTTCCCTTTGAGACATTTGCTGCCATTGCCACTGCTGCGGCTGACGCTGGCAGAGGAGCTGCTGTGGCTACAGGCCTCAGTTTACCTGTGTGGCATTATCCCTTGCTGCAGGGTTCCAGGGAGAATGAAAAGAGACCAGCATATATAGCTTTTGTTTTTCTGTTTCTTGGATTTCCAATGAGCACAGCCTCTGTGTCATGGTTATCTCCTATGTTTTTGGCTCACCTGTATTTTCCATCTTCTGGTATATTTGTGCATCATTGTATAAAGTTTCTTCTGCCTTGTGTACTAATTCACTAATTTTCTTTCTAACTGTGTCTAATTTTGCTGCTGTACTCACCAAGTAAATTCTTTGTGTATTGTGGTTTTCAATTCTGGGAGTGATATCTCCTCAGTTTTCTACTTTCACATTTTCTAATTTATAATTTATGAAAACTGTAAGTTCATCCCCCCTCCCTTTCTGCTTTTTCTCATTTCCATGATTCTAACTCATAGTAAATTTTCTATTTATTTGTTGGGCTACTATCAATAGGATATGACTTTATATTATTAAAATTATTCATGGAAATACTTTGAGGCTTAATAAGGTATTATCTTCTTCCAAAGAACAATTTTACTTGTCTCTGGCTAGTTCTTGGGGATGACAGCATTCTGGGATCACCTGAATCCCAATTCAGGACTTAAAGTTTTCTCAGTTACTTCACTTAAGCCAAGGTTGAGATAACCTTATTTCAACATGCTAGGTTATCCAGTCCAAAGCAATGTGTGATTTTCACAGATCAACTTCAACTTTTGATCTTTTACTCCTATGACTCCACAGATAAATCAAATCAAATGCTTGGTTGCCTCTTTCAGAATAATACAGTCCTATTAGGTCAAGGTAGCCCTATGTGTTTGGCTGAATTTTAGAATTTTTGTCTTTTTTTCAGTCCATTGATTTCTCTGTCTTATTAGCTCTGGATACTTTCAAAATAAATATTAATTTAGTTATATCATTGGAAATACCGGCCCATGTTGCTAAGTTCCCCTTATTGAAAGTAAAATATGTAGATGGATTTTCTGTCATTAAAAAGTCTGTACTTATTTTAGATTTAACTATCTGGGTAAACTTCCTCAGGAGAAGCATCTAGTTCAGAACCTTAATTCTAAAATAGCCAATTGGAGTGTGCTGCCTTGTCATAAATTTGTAGCGTAGATGAAAATAGGCACCGATTATTTCAGTTTTTTATAATGTTCACCTTGATTTGCTCTCCCAGGTATTACCTCCAAGACCAGTGGATCCTTTGATGAGTTTGGATATGGAGTGAGTTCAATGAACAAACACAGATTTTAATTACCTTGAAGCCACATTTACAAGAGCCTCCAAACAGGCCCAATTACCCTCAATTCCAATAACATGAATTTTTTAAAATAAAACTGAATGGGCCACGGTAAACACAGCACCCTATCAATGGGTGCTTGGCATCTCATTAGATGAGGCACCAAGGACACACATCTTGGTCTCTGCTACACAGCCATACACCATAGCACAGGGGGAGTGTGCCCCGTAGCCCATAGTGGTGCAATTAGACGGACTTGTTGTGACTGGGGAAGTGGGAAGAGAAGACATCTGCCTGATACTGTAACTGCAGGAAATCCCTCCGGCAGACCCATCTCAGAAGGCATCTCTATAGGTGTCAGAGACAGGCAAGCTGATTCTTTACTATGCATTCACATTTTCACTGATAACAGATAACAGGGCTTCTTGGGAACATGTTCTAAAATTAGACACTGGTGATGACTGTACAATTCTGTGGATTTCTAAAAACATTAGGTTAAGTGCTTTAAATGAGTTTTATGGTATGTCAAGTATATCTCAATAAAGCTATTTAAAAACTCTTTCCATGCTCTGTGTGCCTTAGGAGTCCTCAACTGTCCTGGTTTAAACATAAAGGGTTTAAGGGACTGTCAGTTCTACAGAGGAACCTGACTAAGAATGCACTCCTTTAATTTAGATTCAATAGGTATAAATTGAGGCTTTTATTTACTGTCTGACTTAAAGGGAGCTGTAAGATCAGTGGGCTTCCCTTTGTCAGAGCTCACGTGCTACTTTGCTGAGAAGCAGAGCCTGGGGCACGGTGGCTGTTCTAGAGGTATCCTGTAGGAAAGCTCCCAGCTGAAGGAAGATGAGGGGAGAGGACCAGGATAAGAGAGAGGGTAAGGAGAGGGCAAGGAGCAGAAGCAGGAGGGAGGCCAGCTGGGGCTCCCTGAAAGGGTTCCATCAGCCACTTGCTAAGATCTAAGGTGTACAGCATGGGCAGGCACAACCCCCAGCCTGTCAGCGGTCACTGCTCACTGTCCCTGTGGCAGAGCACACTTGCCAAGAGGGCCTCTGAAGCAGGCAGCACCAGTATCTCAGACTTTCACCCCTCTATGAGAATACTGTGGGGATGGCACCGGAGAGGGGACAAGAGAGAGAGGCTACCAATGCTTGCACAGTGCCTGCCATATGAAAAGCACCTTAGTACTAGAAGCTATTGTTCTCATGGCAATAGTAGAAGGTCGGTCACACAAACAATTTGTGAGAACTATATGAGACCATGTGGTGAGAAAACCTTACCGTACATGTGTCCTCCTCCTGGAATGCACCTGTGTGGCTTATTGGGCTCCACCCATGGTGGGATTTCGAAGGAGTAACTTTCACGGGGCTTGTCCAACCTGCAAACCAAAAACAGATTGCTGAAGGTCAAATACACAAGGGAAAATTTTCTTCTTCCATCAGAAATAATTAGCATTAGAGAATTAAACTAGATGATGGTGACTTTTGATGGAATGTCAAATAATTTTTCTGGATCTATTTGCAGTGAGAAAAGAATAGCGCTGGACATTTGCATGTTAATATAATTATAATACTGGATAATTATTTGGTATTTTAAATTTATTATTGAAAGAGAACACTTGGGTGCCATGAGCTGCATAAGTCTATGGAGACACACTGGGAATGGTGGTGAAACACAACGGTATGATTACTATGGTTACTACAAAGATAACTAAATACTAAGAGACTGGTAATATAAAATACTTCATGAAAACATAAAATCAGCTTTCCAAAAGTGCTCACGATACCCTAAGTGGAACTGGAAGAGTGTATAAGAATGAAAAACAGTGCTTCTGATTTTGAGATACCCCTGAGCAAATGGAAAATTCAGGCAAATAAATACAAACTGTCAATGTGACATGGCAGCCGCAACACTGGTTCAGCTTAGAGTTCTGTGGGCATGCAGAAAAAGGATATCTCATCCAGCCAGACTGTCAGGGTTAGGAGCATCTTCCTGAAGGTGACAGCTGATCTAATCTTGAAAACTGAATAGGACATAAATTTAAAAAGGGGAAGTGGAGCAAGAGTAGTCATTCCAGGCAGGGAAGCAGCACTTGTGACAGTAGGCCAGCCCTTTGACAGTATCACAATGTTGAGAAAAGATAAAACTGTGTTATGGCTAGACACGAAATGGTACCCAAAGCCTGGTGGATGATGAAAAAGAGAAGGAGTGCAAGGTGAAGACAAGAAAGCCTTGGACTGAAGCCACAGGTGGACTGCCTCTGGAGGGCTATAAGGATGATCTTGGGCCATTACTCTGTGGCCACGTGTCTGTCTACATAAAGACAGGAGTATTAGCTCTAGTAATTTCCATTTTATTTCCAATCTTGTTGGGGGGTGGGGGAGGCTGCTGAGTTTGTGCTCAACTTCACCGATCTGCTCTGTGAATTAATTCAACTTAGAGAAACGTCAATTTGGGAGTGGGGTGGACAGTATGTACATGCTAAAAGCATGGAAAATTAATTATAAGAGATGCTTTAAGACAACACAAGAGCTCAGAAATCACTTGTGGACCTTAACCAGCAGATGCTGGGTCCCAGTGAGGGATGTTTTTGCTCAAATGCCAGTCAGTGGTGTGTGTGAGTTATTCGACCCTTCTGAGCCTCTTTTCCCTTACTTTTAATGACTGTTGTCAGAGCTGAAAGCCATACCTAAAGACTACAAAGGAATGGGCAACATTTCTCACATACATTTAAGCATTCACCATGTTTATTCATTACCAATCTGTAACTCTAATAATTTATAGTACTAATGTAATAATATCCCTCTCATAATGAAGATAATATCTCAGTTAGTGTCCGACTTAGAAACTCATGATAGAATCAGCTCACGGGACTGGCAAAAGAAGGATAGGGAGCGAGAAGATGCTGGATCATGCATGAGCACAAAAGGGCCAGTCTGAGAGATTAGAGTGTCAGGAGGCCTCAATATATCCTTACTGACACTGAAGATAGGGAAGGCCCACAGGGGAAGGAAGTGGGTAACCCCTATGAGCAGAGTTTGTTCCCTTGCTGAAACAAGGATCTGAATGCTGTGACATTCTGAATGACTGGGAATGCATTTTCCTCCAGAACCTTTAAGTAAGAGCCAAGATTACACCTAGAATTTATTAATAATGGATCATTAATAGGAGACACGGGTGAGGTTCCCCAGACATCTGACTTTCTCCCCCAAACTGTGAAGTAATTAAGTTTTTGAGCTGTTAAGTTTGTGGCAATTTGTTGTATTAGCAAGAAAAACTAATACAGGTGTAGAAGTGAGAGACAAAGGGACAAAGGTAGAACTGAATCCCATGTCACTCGGGTTTTGAAAACTGGATGGATAATTTCTTTTTTTAATTCATTAACTTTATTCATACATTTTAGGTATACATCATGATCACATTCATCATTGGCAATTTGTAAAATAGGAAGAAAAGGTCCAAAAGGGAAGGAGAAGTAGGGGAGGGGGTGGGGGAAAGGAAAGAAGGGAAGGAGAAAATATGAGAAAAGAAAGAAAAAATGGAAACAAATTTTTTGTAAATGGGGGGATGGAGGGGTGGAAGGGAAGGAAAAGAATTGGTGAAAAAATGAGAACCAAGATATATCATGTGCATAATTTCTTTTTATGACATGCCAGGGAAAAGCAAATCCTTTACAAGTCATTTACAGTCTTTTACAAGACTCATTGGTATCCATCTTTTTTTGTAGCCATTCAATTAATTGCTTTGAAGAAAGAGGAAAGAAGGGAAAAAAAGCCTTAATTTTTAGTCAGAGGAGGAGAAAGAAAACAGGATGAGGAATTGCAGCCATGTCATCAGAATCATCCTATTTAGGGCAAAGTATGATGTCCTTGCCTCCACCCACATTCACTATCTGCTGCCTCAAAACAGCCCAGAACTCCATGGCTTAGAATGACTACTTATTTACAGTCAGTTGCTGTACTGTACAGTCAGGAAGAGAGCTTTAACTTCCCAAGTTCACATGGGAGAAGTGGGGTTGGTTCACATGTGTAGCACCTGAACGTTAGCAAACATCTACAAAAGAGTGAAAGAAAATGACTCAGGCAAAAATGTTCCACAAAAGGGAAAAAGACAGATTCGCAGAAAATTTTCCTAAAAGTTGGAGTCATAATTTTCCTGACAGATAATCCAAAATAATTGCCATGAAAAGGCTCACAGAGTTCAAGAGCATCAGAACTGAAGATATATATAGAAAGACAGTAATACAAGAGTAGTAGAAGATCTTGATACCCAATTTTCAATAATGAAAAAGGAATTCAGGTGGAAAGTCAACAAGGAAACAGAGCAGTAATAACAAGCAGACCAAATGAATCTAACAAACATATATAGAACATTCTGTCCAATAGCAGTGTAATATAAATTCTTATCAAGGATGCACAGATTATTCTCTAGAACGTATCACATGTTAAATCACAAAATAAGCCTTAACAATTTTAAAACCAAAATCATGCCAAGAAACTTTCACGAGCATGATGGAATGTAGCTGGAAATCAATAATAGAAGGAAAAGTGGAAAAGTCACAAATATGAAGAAATTGCTATTAAAGAAGTTTTCATTGTGTCAAAGAAAAAGTTAGAAATCCTTGTTCAAAGGAAAATAAAGACACTAAACCAAAATTTACAGGGTGTAGCAAAAACAGAACTCAGAGGGAAGTTCATAGTAGTAAATATTTACATTGAAATAGATCCCAAATAAACTGAAACTTACACCTCAAGAAGCTAGAAAAAGAAGAAAATAACCCAAAAGTTAGAATAAGGAAGGAAATAACAAAGATTAGAGTATGTATAAACAAAAATAGAACATGGGGACATAATAAGGTAAATCAATAAAGCCACTGGTTGATTCTTGGAAAACATCATTAAAAATTGATGAGTATTTGGATAGACTGATAAAAAAGAATCAAATAAGTAAAACCAGAAATAAAAGAGAAGTCATTACAGCTAACTTTGCAGAAACAAAAAAGGATTAAAAAGAGCAAATAATTGGACACCACCAAACTGAATACACTATTGTGAAGTAGACAAATTAGTAGAAACACAATCTACCAAAACCGAATCATAAAGAAACAGAAACAGTCCTTTGTCTGAGGAACAGCTGGTAAAATTTTTTTCCCACATTGTAGATTGTCTCTTAGTTCTGCTGATGGTTTCTTTTGAAGTACAGAAGCTTTTTAGTAAGATGAGATCCCAGTTGTTGATTCTATCTGCTAGTTCCCGTGATACTGAGGATTTGTTCATAAAGTCTTTTCCTATACCAATGTTTTCCAGAGTTCTGCCTAACTTACATTCCAGCAAGTTTAATGTTTCTGTTTTAATATTTAGATCTTTAATAAAATTTGGATTTTAATTTAGTGCATGGCGAAAGATAAGGGTCTAATTTTAATCTGTGGCAGGTTGACATCCAGTTTTTCCAACACCATTTATTAAAGAGCCTATCTTTCCTCCACTGAGGATGGTCAGCTCCTTTGTCAAAGATGAGGTAGCTGAGTACATGTCCATTTGTTTTTGTGTCTTCCAGTCTGTTCCACTGATCCTCACGCCTATTTCTTTGCCAGTACCATGCTGTTTTTATCACAGCGGCTTTGTAGTATAGTTTCAAATTGGGAATTGTTACACCTGGTGCCATGTGTCTGTTGCCTAAAATGGCTTTTGCTATTCTAGGTCTCTTATGTTCCTCAGACAAAGGACTATTATCAAGGATATATAAAGAGCTCAAAACAATCAGTCCCCCCAAATATAAAGACCCGATTCAAAAATGGGCATCTGAAATGAACAGACATTTCTCAGACAAAGAAGTAAAAGCAGCAAG